CCGGGGATTTGAATCCGCCACCTTAGGTGTATGTGGCTGGCGCCTTAGCCGCTTGAGCCACAGGCGCCGAGCCCAAACTGACTTTCTTTAAAGAGGAACCACTGTGTGCCCTACAGACTCCAGACACTGAGGAAGCACTTGACCGACCACTTACAGCCTTCCCGACTGGGACAGCACTGAAAGGCAAAGCGTTGGCCTGGTTAGTTCCCCCATCTCCTGAGCACAGAGGTAGCAAAGACGGTTCCCCAGGCACTTTTGTGATACACATGGAGTTTTACTGGCATCATTTCACTTAATTCTTACTTCACTTCTATGACATTGGTAGTATTATTTGCATTTTGCAGATGAGGAAACTGAGGCTCATGGTGTTGAACCAAAGTCAGATCTGTCTGGTTCTAGTAATGCTTATATCAGTATTCCTGAAACTTCGGTCATCAGCCAAGTGTCCATATGGTCTTTGCTTTTTTTTTTTTGAGACAGAGTCTCACTATGCACCCTCGGTAGAGTGCCATAGTGTCACAGCTCACAGCAACTTCCAACTCTTGGGCTTAAGCGATTCTCTTGCCTCAGCCTCCCAAGTAGCTGGGACTACAGGCTATTTTTTGTTGCAGTTGTCATTGTTGTTTAGCAGGCCCAGGCTGGGTTTGAACCCGCCAGCCTTGGTGTATGTGGCTGGTGCCCTAACCACTGAGCGATGGGTGCCGAGCCCGTCTTTATTGTATTTACGAGGACTGTCCCCACCTGCCATGCCGTCAGCTCCCACTGCAGTGCTAGTGCCGAGCCTGGGCTCTCCCTGGTGACCCCGACCAGGTCATTCATTCCTGTCCAGTGGGAAACTCCCAGAGTGGACGATGCATTCTCTAAGAGCCGCTCTGAGTCTCAGGCTCTTCTGAGCTTCTCCTCCTCCCTTCTCTCTCTCCCTTCCCAGATGTCAGACCCTCCCTGTGCTCTGAAGGCTCTCTCTACCCACCCCCTTTATCTTCCTCCCAAAATATCATGCGTCAATTCTTTGTTGCTGTCTGCTTCTTGGAGGACCCACATTTACCATTATCTACCTAATCTCAGCGCCATCTTTCATGGAACACTTTCCTTTTAACTAGATTCCTAAATACAGGTAGTCTCACCTCGAGGAAATATGTATTAAATCTCAAGTTTAATGAGCTAGTCCTATTTTTCCAATACACTTTGAATATACGTACGAATGTACAATTAGTGGAATAAAATGTTCAAACACGAGTCTCTTGCGTCATCTTCCTTGCCGCTCATATGCAAACACATGCTTGGACATTGTTCCCCATATCGTATTGCTAGTGAAGATATTTTAAGATAAGTAATGGTGTGTGGGGGGAAGGAGGAAGATTAGGACAGAAACGTCTACTGACATCATCCAAAGTTTTCGTGAAATACTGGAGTTCGTGTTCTGGGAATAAGCTAGATGGACGATTTCTGTACCACAGGAGCAGACAGGAAAGAGACTCAGAAACCCAGCGGGATTCTGGATGAGAGAGCATAGCTGAAACCACAGCGGCATCTGAATTTATCATCTGCTTTTCGTGATGTGCCAGGTGGCATGGGTGTTTTGATGAAATTACGAAGTTTGATGGTGCCAGGGGGTGAATGAGGCCCACCCCCTCCTCCCTGCTTTCTTGCTCATCTTTTGGCCAAATTAAAAACAGGCGAGAGCCGTGAATGTGCGTGGCTGCTGGGGTTTGCTCGCTGTGCTGACTAAGGCAAAGCTGTCAGGATGACTCAGCCTCACCCACCATTTCCATGAGTGGCACCTCCCTCGGGTACTTAAATTGTAGATGGGCGGGGAGGGATACCGAGCAGTGATTTGAATCTTCCTGTCATAGAACACAGTCCGTGCTGGCCCTGGAGGTGAACTGGTGGACGCCCTGGTTTTCCTAGAGGGGAATGAAGACTTAGTGTTTGGTAATGACTGATTCTATCTGGCCAGGGAGAAGCAAAGACCCAGAGCCCGGGGAGCTTGAGAGCGCTCAGAGAAAGCTGGGGGGAACACAAGTCACACGCCATTTTAGAAGGAAAATGAAATTGTGAAATGCCACAACCCTCCCTCACTCACTGGAGTCATTCAAAGAATGAACAAGTCCACTCGTTCATTGCCTTTTCTTCCCGAGAAACACATGTTGATAACACGATCGGAGTTTCATTCTTCCCAGGAGGGCATTAGAAAGCCTCAACTCAGTGGTGAGTTTGTCATTTTGAAGAAAATGGATAAAAATAACCAAAAAAACCCCTCCATACACTATTAGGTTCAATGATTGGCCCCATAGAAATAATTTCTCAACTCATCCCAGCTCTAAGGGACTCTCTAGATCTTGAAAATCAGACTTACCTTTTTCCAGAACAGTTTGCCCAGAGGCAGAGAGGTGGGTCCCGATTTCTCCTTGACACCTTCCTTCACCGTCTCAGGGGACGTCGCAGATTGCACGTGACCTGAAGAGTTGCTGCCTTTGGGATTCTTGGCTGCCCTGGGGGTCTCCTGGGGTGTAAAGTTGGCTTTGTCTGACTTAAGGTCGGTGGAAGTGGTGGGTGACTTTTCAGCACCCTATGGAGTTAAAAACATTCAAAATGGCATCAAGATTTCCAAAGTGAAAGGTCTTTTTTTTTTTTTTTTTAATAAACATGGGCTGCGGTTATGATGTTAATTTTCTTCTTTATAATTTTCTGTGTTTTCTACACGTCTATTACATAAATGTGGATTTATGTTAAAATCCTAGAAAAGGTCAAAATTAACATAGCAGCATTGTCAGTTATGTTCATGTAAGTAAGTCATGAGGCAGGAAGGCGTGTGAGAGGTGCTGAGCTGTTAGGATGGAGATTGCTTGCGGAGGCTGCTGATCTCCAAACGGTTTTGACCATGTTCCCATCAGCAAAAACATTTTGAGCATGCACCCCTAATTCCCACATACTTAGTGGTATATATATTATAAACATGCATTGTTTTACTAATCCAAATTAGAAATGAAAGTTGGATTAAACTATAATTATAATAGAAGTTAAGAAATTTTTCTACCATACTCTGCTTTGGGGGATCACTCATCTATGGTATAAGGCAGCATGAATAGAACTCGGTGAAAGGGTTTTGAATTAGAAGAGCATCCCTAAGCCCCATTTCTTTCCTTTTTATTTTTTTTTTTTGGAGACAGAGTCTCACTTTGTCACCCTTGGTAGAGTGCCATGGTGCCACAGCTCGCAGCAACCTCAAACTCTTGGGCCCAAGCGATCCTCTCGCCTCAGCCTCCTGAGTAGCTGGGACTATAGGCACTTGCCACAAGCCCAGCTGTTTTTAGAGATTGGGGGTGTCGCTTGTGCTCAGGCTGGTCTGAAACTCCTGAGCTCAGGCAGTCTACCCGCCTCGGCCTCCCAGAGTGCTGGGATTACAGGTGTGAGCCACCACGCCTGGCCCCAAGCCCCATGTCTTTACTTTCAGATGTGGGCCTTACTCTCCACCATGAAAGCTTCATCAAAGGAAGCTTCATCACTACCCCTACAAAAAAATCTAAATTAGGGAATTGGACCAACTCATGACAATGGGGAAGGCTTTACTGAGGGAGGGACGGCCACGCTGTCATCGGAAAGGTGACTGGGAATTAACTGGGGAGGAAGGAAGTGTGCTCCATGCACAGGGAACAGCTGCCCTGTGGTCCTCTGGCAAGAGGTCTGAGGGAGGAGCGGTCGAGAGGGGCTACCTCCCCACATCCACCTTGCCCCCTGCTTCCCTGGAGAATCCCCATTTGCTCCGGGGCCCATTTTAGACCAAGCACCCGGGGACAGGAGCTGCCCTCCCTCTGCCTCTGCGTAAGGGTCTGGTCACTAACCCTGCCCGCCTCACTGCAGTAAGGGCTCAGCAGCTTTGCGGCTTCCTGTTTCTCGGCTTTTTATGCTCCTTAGATGCAACTATTTCTCCAGCTCAAGGCTGCCCCTTGATAATCGCTCAGCTCACTTGACCAGAGTCCCATGGGGTGACAAAGAAAGCCCCCTCCCCCCAGATCCAGTTTCTGAATTTCTCTGGGACAGCTCCAGTTCACTGCTGCATTACATCCTTGGCTGACTTCACCACAGTCTCCTCTGGGTCTCTCTCCCAAGTCTCCCTGAACCAATGCTGCCTTCTTGAGGCATATTTTCAACTGTAAACATTGATTTAGTAATAACAATCAAAGGTGACAGTGCCAGGCACCATTCTAAGCATAGAATGTTCTAGCAATACTCCTAAGAGGAAGGAACTAATTATTATGTCCATTTTACAGACAGGGAAATTGAGGTGCTCGGTGGTCAGGTAACTTGCCCACAGTCATGCCTAGAATGGAGCAGAGCTGACAGCTAAATCCAGGGACTGTGATCCCCTAACCCAGGCACTGACAGTGACTGTAGACCACACGATTTCCAAAGAATCAAAGTGACCTTAACCTCTGGGGCCCACACAATGAGGGATGGAAATGTTTACACTGTCCTTCTCAACGATGACAATACCCCTCCAAGGGGGAGGAGATCTGGGGTCACGTGATGCTGCTTTTGTCCTTGGGAAGGAGGTTAAAAAAAATGAGATGTTAACATGCTCTGTAGCCCTCAAAAGGATTATAGTCCTTAAACAGACATGCGTTGTGTTTGTTATGTTAAAATTTCTTTCAGAAAGGGCGACTGGGGGTGAAAGGCATCATGGTAGGGACTGATAATGAGGAAAACACATCTGCATGGATCAGTTTCATGAAGAAATGGCAACTTTTCTTCTGTTTACACTGGGAAGATACTAAGAGGCCCTTGAAAAACATCACCAGGGCATGACAATATTATATTTATAGCAACATAATAGGACTCTAGTATAGTTGCATGATTGTGGAATATGCATCTCCCTTGCTAGACTTTGAGCTCCTCAAGGGTAAAAGGGTCTTGGTCTCCAATTACATCCCCAATTTCCATCAGGCCCTGTGTCTGGCACAAAACAGATAATCCAGTCGGTCACTGGTACAGTGTGCGACATGAACTCCAGACCCTGCCTGCCATGCTTCCAGCCAGCCCCTCCTCCCTCACCGGCTGCTTGTCCCCACCGGAGCACCATCGGCCTTCTCACGCCCTGCCCACCTCATTCACCAAGTCCCCCAAATGGAGTGCTGCCCCCATTAACCAGCATAATGTTCTCTTTGCTTTTCAGAGGAGACTACAGAAATTCTAACCATGTTTTCAGAGATAACCTCGGGAAGAGGGGTGTCGGGTTTAGCAAATAATGAGAATATGGGGTGCTCCATTAAAAATGAATTTCAGATCAGCAAAGAATTATGTTATAGTATAAATATATCCCAAGTATTCCATGGAACATATTTATATTTATGCTAAAAAAATTCCTTGTTTATCTAAATTTCAAATTTAACTCTTTCTATTTTATCTGGTGACCCTGCGCATGAAATTCAAAGGGACTCCATCTGGAGATTGCAATGCAAATAACTTTACCTTCTTAATAAGTGTATGATGTGTCTCCACATTTGGATGCAGGACAGAGGAGATGTTAGTAAGATGCAGGTGTTCCTGATACCAAGAATCCCACGCAATGGATGTGAGGCAGAGCGTAGGAATCCCATGAGCCAGTTATAAAGTTTCACCTGCCTTGCAGAGAGGGTGGGCATTGGGAAAGCTTGAGAGGGGAGCACGTCAGGGCATTGGGAAAGCTTGAGAGGAGAGCACGTCAGGGCATTGGGAAAGCTTGAGAGGAGAGCACGTCAGGGCATGAGAGAAACATTCTAAGACAATGCCTTCCACGTGGGCACGTGGGCACCAAAGTTGGAGGCCACGTGAAAAAGTTTCATTCTGAGACATATATGATCAAGCCAAGATGCAGACTCAGCTAGGAACTCTGATGCTCTGATCGTTTATAACAATAAACATATTTCATGCATTGATTCCAGGCTTCTAAATCTGGAATAAGCAAAAAAAAAATTCCTTTTATAGGAGGGAAAATTGAGATGTAGAGAAGTAAGCCCAGGAGTTAACCAAAATTGGTAATATTATATTATGGTTGTTATTTTTTAACAGCAAAGCTAGAAGATAGTGTTTATCTTTGAATTTGCTTGAATTTCTCCCCTTTCCATTTTGAGCTCCAACCCCCTGGTGGAACCCAGGGTATCACACCTCCTTCAATCATGCAGCAAGGGTTATTGGTAGAATCAGACTGGTTATTTAACAGGCTTATTTGGCTAACTTTATAGACAACTGAATAATCAAAAAAGGAAAAGAAATAAACCATCGTAGGCTGAGGTAAAAGCCAATGAGCTCTACCAAATTGCTGCCCAAAAGACGCTGGAACATTTGGGAATCATCCCCTATACTTTAATTCACGTTTAGCTGAGTGCACTGCGTGTAACTCAAGGCAAAACCCTATTGTCCTTGTGTCTATACTACAGAATCCGGGAAAGGACGCCTTTCCCTCCGTCTTCCTAGTATTTCAGAATCATATTCTTCCCCATGTACCTCAGAGGCAGGATCTGAGGGCAATGATTTTGGGGAGCCCTGGGAATAACAACATCAAACTTGGGTGGCCCTTTTATGGGTGGCAATGGATACTGCAGACGTGAAATTTTGCAGTGCATGGAAAAACGAATGTCATAATGAAATGCTGATCTGCGGGGAAGGTCACGCACTTATCAAACTTTCCAGGACTCTCCTCACAAACGCTCCAAGTGGGAGTTAAACTTGTCTTCCATATTCCACTGAACCCTATTTTAATTCCCCCCCCCCCCACTCCAATACTTATCACCGTTTCTTTATGAAACAAAGCCAGTATGGAAATTACAGGGTGGCTTCACAACACAGTTTTTTTTTTTTTTTTTGAGACAGAGCCTCAAGCTGTCCCCCTGGGTCGAGTGCCATGGCATTACAGCTCACAGCAACCTCCACCTCCTGGGCTCAAGCGAGTCTCCTGCCTCCGCCTCCCAAGTAGCTGGGACCACAGGCGCCCGCCACAACGCCCGGCTATTTTTTGGTTGCAGCCGTCATTGTTGTTTTGGCGGGTCCAGGCTGGGGATTCGAACCCGCCACCTTAGGTGTATGTGGCTGGCGCCTTAGCCGGTTGAGCTATAGGTGCCGAGCCACAGTTTTTTTTTAATACAGATTCAGCCATGACAATTTTCTCTGGAGCTCTTATTTACATGTACAGTTCTGATACTACGATATCCATCTAGGGATGTTTTATTAATACGTTCATTCAACTGGGTGGAAAGTAGTTGGCCTTTTTTTTTTTTTTTCCTACGAAAAGTCTTTATTGGTGGGGGGAGGGAGGCTGCAGAGCAGCACCGAGGAGGAGAGAAAGATAAGGAGAGAGAGAGATAAGGAGAGTGGGGAAGAGAAAAGAGAGAGTAGATAAGAGCCAGGGGGGAAGAGAGAGAAAAGAGAGCAGAGAAGGAAGGAAGAAGGAGGAGAGAGAGAGAGCGAGAGAGAGAGCGCGCCAGTAGTTGGCTTTTTATGTTTTTTTGACACAGAGTTTCATTTTGTTATCCTGGGTAGAATGCCCTCATTTCATAGCTCACAGCAATCCCAAACTCTTGGGTTGAAGCAATCTTCTTGCCTCAGCTTCCCAAGTAGCTGGGACTATAGGTGCCTGCCACCACACTTGGCTAGTTTTTCTATTTTTATTTTATTTTATTTTTTTGCAGTTTTTGGCCGGGGCTAGGCTTGAACCCACCACCTCCGGCATATGAGGTCAGCCCCCTACTCCTTTGAGCCACAGGCGCCACCCAAGTTCTTCTAATTTTTAGTAGAGACAGAGTCTTGCTCTTGCTCAGGCTGGTCTCAAATTCCTGAGCTCAAGCAATCTACCTCCCTCAGCCTCCCAAAGTGCTACAATTACAGGTGTGAGCCACTACACCAGGGCAGTGGTTGATATTTTAGCAAATTTTTAAGAAAGTAGACCCAATTCAGGGATCTTTTAAACTGATGGTTTCAGACACACCGGTATCTTCTTAGACATTAGAAGTGTAATATCTCCAAAATCGACTTCAACATTGTCTGAACTTCCCAAGGACATGGAGATATGATAGGCTCTGCCTTCATTCACTGCCTTTTTTTTTTTTTTTCTGCCTGGGGATTTCATTTGGCTTCAGTATCAGCTTAGTTAATATTGAGAATGCATGAAACAGACCACAGAAAGATACAATTGTTACCCTGAGGTTAGAAGAGTATATCCCAAAGTGTTGAAAGCATACCACTGGCAGATGAGAGATAATTTTAGATTGTACAGAGATATAACATTAAATAACATTAAGTGGAAATACTTTTCCAATTGTCATTTAATCCTTCTAATAACATCCTGGGAAAGTCTCAGATGACGCTGGTACGTATGTAGCAGTTTTCTACTATCGGCCAATACATTGGCTTTAAGCTAGAAAGAGCGTCAGACTCAGAGCTTAACACAAATGAGGCGGCTAGAATGTAAGTACTTTCTTGTTAGCCATACAAATGGTCTCTTTTGCCTTCTGAAAAATAATTTTGATTTCTGCATGTAATATAAAGTCTCTTTTTATGATAAATTTTACTCATTGACTAGAACACTGGAAAAAACATTTTCTTTCCCTGGGGCCAAATAGAATAAAGACTTTGAAAACAAAACAATCCTTTCTAATTTCATAAATACTTGTTATCTTTTATTGTTTTGCTCAGGAGGCCACCATCACATAATAGGTAAGCTACCACACGGCAGTGTGAGTTGCCTGCACACCATGTAGCTCCCAAGGTCAAGAGACTTGTGGGTTTGATAAGCTTCACAAGGCCCTGGGCCCTAAACCAGCGTGAGTTACATACAACTGACATAGCAGTTCGTGTGTTAAATAAAAAATGGCTCAATTTCACTATAAAAATATCAAGTACTAAAAAGGGTGGTATGCAAACGACCGACATTTGGGAAATACTGGGTTAGAGTCGTACTTTCAGAACCCTGGTCCACACGAGCGAGAAACCACTCTGAGATGTTTATAACTATAGGAACCGAAAAATCATGGAAGTGTGATTCACATCCCTTTTTATCCCCCTTACTAATCCCAGCCACCCAAGGCTCTGCTTCCACTGGAGAGGAGCCAGCGGGCTGCGGATGGTGCATGCTTCGTGGGCTAAGGACCAGGGTTCTTCTTTCCCCTCCTAGTTTATAAGATACAGACCTTGTGCCTAAAGAATTTTCTAAAGGCAAGTCCTAGCCTGGGGCTATCCAGGTGCTTTTTCCTGGTGCCTTTAGCCTGGATCTCCGAGGTCTTCTGACCGGCTTGTCCATCACACACACTCTCTGCTTTGGATGCCTTGGGGGCAACAGCAGTTACTGCCTTAGAACTTTGTTTTTAAACAAAATCCATTTTTTAAGTGCTTGAGTATACTGTGACAAGGAACTCCTGGTCGACCACCCTGATCCCCTAACCACAAAACACTGTGGTGTGCCTGTTTGCCTTTTTTAAACTCTCAAAGACAATTTGCTAAGCAGCACCTTCTCGGGCAACTTCAGGTTCACACCGATATTCAACAGGGTGACCTATTTAAATGACCCAGATTAACACACCTCAGAAAAATAAAAATAAAACAAAACCCCCAAACCCAAACCGAACCAGACAAAAAGTCTCTGTAACTCCATTTGCTAAAGACAAATAATAGGACGTTTAATCTCCATCTCTGAGACTTAAAATACCTTGATGAAAATTTTTTTAAAGAAGATAAGGCAGTCTCTACGTGACAGGTTTTTAAAAATAAATATCTAACTGCTATTGTCACACAGGAAAGAGAAGAAGACTTACAGACAATGATTTATTTTTGCACCCTGGAATCAAGGCAAACGTTGTCACTGAATAGCTTTTATTCTCAAACCTCTCTCTTTTAATCCAGTATTAGAACATTCAAGGGAGTAATTATCACCTGGAAAGATCTCAGTTCACTTCTAGATGGGCAGATTTCCCAGGCAAAGGAAGCGTCTAGCACGAACCAGTCCACCGAGCTAAATCTGTGCATGACGGAGATTGAAATGGAAACGGCCCAGCAACAACCACTTGAGATTGTTGACTCCAGTTACACAGGGCAGGGCATTTTGTGGGGGCCAGGAAACGTGCTAAGAAATGATACGGATTTTTCAAATGCACGAGTCCAAGGACACCAGTAGAAAAGATGACAGAAAGAGGTCTATTTGGGGGAGTCCTAGACATTCACAGAATCCTCTTTTGAGACCCCAGATGCACCAGGGGTGACCCCAAAGCTCTCTGGGCAAGTTAGAGAGATTTTATCAGCTAAGTACATCCAGCCAGGGCCACATTCTGGGTCAGGGAAGAGTCTGGGTGCATGATCGGCCTAGATGGAGTACATCAGGTCTCGTGGGAAGCCACACAACACACCCACATACCCCACTGTTTACATTCTGTTCCACCATGTGGCTTCAAACACTGCAAAACACAGAACCCAAAGAGAAACACAGTGACTCAACCATTCATCGAACTTGACCCAGTGACTTTGTAGCAAATGGATAATTTGATAGGGAAACCCATGTAGATGCTTCAGCTGTACATTTTTTTTTTTCCCAATGGAAGATGAAAATCTTAGACGAACCACTGACGTAATAAAATGTCATCACAGTGTTCAACCAGTCCGGCACGTGATTATGAAAACAGGGATCAGCTACATTTAAACAGAGCTCTACAGTTTACAAGGCCTGGTCAGACCTTTCAATCCTGGGGTCCAGGAGAGAGAATTTTTATTGTTCCAATTTTACAGAACTGGGTTCAGACAGGGGACAGTCACAGTTCTATCCAGTAGCAAAACTGGAGCTCAAAGACTGGTCTTCTGAGACCAAACCCAGGCTGCTTTATTCAAGACCGACGCCTTCCGATATGGGTAGCAGATGTGCGGAGCTGGCCGAGCCACGCGTTTGAGCCCCATGTCTTTCAATGCATTTTGCATTATCAAAACAGAGGACCCAAGACACTTATCTGTCATCAAGTTAAACTGTCCCCATGGTTTCTGTGACATCCAAACCACGTATTCTGCTAAAGGCAACTGGCCCGGTCATGTGTAAGGGGAAAACACCCTTAGGAGGAAGTTGTTTTAAACTAAAGGTATTTTGAGGGGAACTGGCTGATTTTCTAAGGTGACAGTAAAAATCCAAGCTCTCTAGAGCAGCCTAACCCCTCTCCACGGCCTTCCACTTGGCAAGGGCCCCACAGCGGTGACTTTAGCTCATCAAACAACCGCCTTTGCAGTGGAGATTGAGTTTTTTTCAAATGACACAAGCAACAAAATAGGTATTTTTTAGAAAACAAAAAATATAGCAGCTTTCTTCTACTTTACAGGGAGTCTTTTCTCCTACACTTCTATTCCAGGGTCTCTTCTCACACAACTAAAAACACTAACATGATGATATGATTAGGACCATTCTCCTCTTACTCTGTATAAGAAGGTGGCTATTGTGACATTATTTCGACAGAATCAGCATATCCAATCAGCATAGCCTCCCACTAGAAGCTTGAAAGCTTCATTGTCATTACACCACCACTAATGACAGCACTATTAATTGCTAACTGTATATACAGAGGGTACCGAAAATGCATACACCATTTAAGACATCTTATTGGGAATAAGATCAACCATTCCCCAAGAGAGTAGGAATTGCTGGTGAAATGGATGTAGGTAGCCTGTCTAGGGACATGGGACCAGCACCTTCAACTCAACTTCAAAAAGTTACACATAGATAACATTGCTTTAAAAGTGTATACATTTTTTTTTGGTACCTGCTGTATATACATGCTTATATATTCAAGAAACAAACAAGCAGACAGAAATTCAAATCCAAGTCTATGTGCAAACTCGGACATCAACATGCTTCAAAACACCTACCGTGTCTTCTGGGTCTTTTTTTGTTTCTGCTTTGTTAGGTGAAACCTTAAAAGGACAAGAAAACCAAACATCAACAATCATGGCCCGGGAAGGTCATTTTCATTTCCTTAGATACAAAAATCCTTCAGAGTGACCCAGTTAACCATACAGGTAAAGGATAACATGAGAAATATACTTTCAGTTCGGCAGAAACCCGAGGAGCGCTGGGTGACAGCAAAGTTACCATATTAATATCTTACAACGAAATGCATCTCATTTTAGCCATTCATCAAGAGTTTGACCACATTCAAAATTGCCTCTTGGAAGATCACAAACTTTCCATAAGTTATATCATTACCCCAAACATATGCATAACCCTTTGGAGTTTGTGGCCCATTTTCTTAATTTTTTTTTTTAGAGACAGAGTCTCACTTAGTCACCCTCGGTAGAGTGCTGTGGCATCACAGCTCACAGCAACTTTCAGCTCCTGGGCTTAGGTGATTCTCTTGCCTCAGCCTCCCAAGTAGCTGGGACTACAGGCACCCACCACAACACTTGGCTATTTTTTTCTCACAGTTTGGCCAGGGCTGGGTTTGAACCTGCTGCTCTCGGTATATGGGGCTGGCGCCCTACTCAGTGAGGCCCTGTTGCCAATTCTCTTGACTTTCATTGTTTTATCTTTTGAAGTCAGTCTTGATATTTGGAAGTAGCCCCAAATATATATATATATATATATTTTTTTTTTTTTTTTGAGACAGAGCCTCAAGCTGTCCCCCTGGGTAGAGTGCCGTGGCATTACAGCTCACAGCAACCTCCAACTCCTGGGCTCAAGCGAGTCTCCTGCCTCCGCCTCCCAAGTAGCTGGGACCACAGGCGCCCGCCACAATACCTGGCTATTTTTTGGTTGCAGCTGTCATTGTTGTTTGGCGGGCCCGGGCTGGAGATTCGAACCCGCCACCTTAGGTGTACGTGGCTGGCGCCTTAGCCAGTTGAGCTATAGGCGCCGAGCCACCCCAAATATATCTTAGGGTGTTTATTTAATTACACATTCATTTATCAAGGTGGTAGTTTTTTTTTGTTTTTTTTTGTTTTTTTTTTTTTTTAAGTGTCTGACATGTGCCAGGCATGTGCTCTGCCCTGGGGCTCAGAAATAAATAAGCAATGTGAAGGCACGAAGGGGCAGATTTTGACGTAACATGGTGGGAAGTGATTTCTGCAGTGTTCTGTTTGCCTTGTAAGTGGCAAAACTGCTTTGAGAGGCCAACAACACAACTGGAGATTATTTTCCAATTATTTTTATGATCACTGGCCATCTAACAGCCAATTGCAACAGAATTCCATCACAAGGCGGTTCCTGGCCCATGGCTTTGGCGCCTACTGCTCAGACCACGGTTCCCAGCTCTAAGCCTCCCTCTCTGAAAGCCCGATGCCCCCCCACCCGGTACAGAGCACCCCTATTCCTGCTCTCCCGTGTTCCAGCTGCACCGTGAAGATAATCCCTTTCGCATCATCACGCTCAAACACGCACTCCTCTTAGCATTAACGTGACTTTTGAGCAAAAGAATTGAGGGAAGAGGGAAGACAAGTGCTTACCAGAGTTTTAAAGAAACTCATGATGGAATTTTCACTCTCCTCTGCCTCCGTCGTCCGGGAGTCCTTAGCAATGTCCGGCCCTTCTGTGTCCCCAGGGACAGAACAATTCACGGTTCCTAGTTCTTCTTCTTTTCCTTTGCCTCCGACTAAGTCCTAGGAGCGAAGCAGAGTTTCCCAGTCGCCCCTTGATGAATGTGAACCCTCAGAGCGCTGTTCCTGCCTCACGCCCCTTTCTCCCTTGCCCCCTAATTCCAGCCGTGTTTCCTCTGCCCACGAGCCTACAGAACAATCGGGAGCTTATGAGAGCGGCTCTTCCTTCTTACACCCTCTCTCTAACATACTCAGCACTGGCGGTCGGGTGGAGGGTCATAAACACAGCAGTGCACGTTGCCTTCCAAACAAAAACCCTTTTCTCCCCATTCTGCAAAGAGGTTGTGTAAGACGTTTCGTGGTCTCCTTGTCTAGGGATGTGTACGTTATCCTCAGCAATAACTCTATCCTGTTTGCCATCATCCCCACAGGCGTGAATTGCATCAACGATGGAAAAAATAAAAATAAAAACCAGGGCTGGTATTTCAAAAAACTATTCTTCATTTTTTGGGGGATCTGGGAATTTACTGGTGCAAGGGATGGGATTTGGGGACAGATTTTCTCCCCTTCCCCAGGAGGGCAGGGTGCCTTCTGGATACTTTATCCATGTCCTCGTCTCTCTGCCTTCCCACTGCAACGGTCCCCTGACCTGTCTTCTTGGGCTCTTCGCTCCTACGATCCGTTTTTTACCCAACAGACTCCACCCTCCCGCTCCTGCCACCTCCAGTGGCTTCTGAAGGGCCTGGACCCAAGCCCTAACTCTGACATAGGGTCTTCCATGTCCCCCTCGTCTGGCCCTGCTGAAGTCTCCGCCCTTTCTGTACCACTCTCTCCTTCACTCCCCCTTTTATTTATTTATTTTTTTGGAGACAGTCTCACTCTGTTGCCTCAAACTCCTGGGCTCAAGTGATCCTCCTGCCTCAGCCTCCTGAGTAGCTGGGACTTACAGGTGCCCACCACGACCCCCTGCTAGTTTTTCTAGTTTTAGAAGAGATGAGATTTTGTTCTTACTCAGGCTGGTCTCAAACTCCTGAGCTCAGTTGATCCACTTTCCTTGGCCTCCCAGAGTGCTGGGATTACAGGGGTGAGCCACCACACCTGGCCTCTTTCAGTCCATTTTTTGGCTAGATTTCTTTCTTTCTTTTTTTTTTTTGAGACAGAGCCTCAAGCTGTCCCCCTGGGTAGAGTGCCGTGGCATCACAGCTCACAGCAACCTCCAACTCCTGGGCTCAAGCGAGTCTCCTGCCTCAGCGTCCCAAGTAGCTGGGACCACAGGCGCCCACCACAACGCCCGGCTATTTTTTGGTTGCAGCCGTCATTGTTGTTTGGCGGGCCCAGGCTGGATTCGAACCCACCAGCTCAGGTGTATGTGGCTGGCCCCTTAGCCACTTGAGCCACAGGTGCTGAGCCTTGGTTAGATTTCTTTTGGTTCCTTAAGGCATTTCCAACCTCCTGGCTCTGTCTGGAACATGCTGCCCTCTGGCCGCCTGCAGGTAATTTCCCTTTGTCCTTCCCGTCTCAAGTGCCACCTCTCTGGGGAGATCATCCCTAACCCCCCCCCCCCCCCCCCCCCGCAGTGCTCCCCTTTTATCATCTCCACCATGGCACCTTGCCTCTTTGCTATGACAGCATTTTTGTTCCCTTGCTCAGTTCGTGTGACTTTCCTCACACCCCCATTAGACGGTACCCTCAACACGCACAGTGCGGTACCAACCAGGCACAGTGCTTCTCTCAAGTACCCAGGACAGTGAAGCCCAGCCATTCAGAAAATGTGTGTCCTGTGACTAGTCCATAGATGATGGATGTAAACAGATGAAAATCTGGCAGAGATGGGGTGGCGCTATCGGTCAACTTGCTTTTCTCATATAATAAAAACAGCACAGGCCTCTCCCCATGGCCACACCGCCCGGCCTGCATGATGAGTCTCCAGGGCACTCTTCCCTCACCTGACCATAACCTTGTTTCTTGCCTGCTATCATTATTGATGACCATTCATGGTGCTGATAGTTTTGCATCGAGGGGGTTGTACGCAGCATTGGAATGGACGTGCCACACGTTTATTTTTAATCATTCATGTGTGTCTATGTTTTCTTTGGGAAAATTACTAAGAGTGAAATTTCTGGGTCAAGAGGCAGATGAATTTAAAACTTGATAAATATTCTTATAAAACATTAGATTTCACTAGAATGATCCTGCTGGCCCCCCTTGGGATCTTAGAAGTTGCTTAGTGCGTTGGGGGTGGGGGGCAGGGGAGACTAAAACAGTCCCAGGCCCCCAGGGTGGTGCGTGGGGAGTGGCCTGAGGGTGGGGGCTTGGTCCGGCGGTGGGTGGAGGGAAGTTGACTTGACGCTCAGCTCCTAGTCTGGGCATCCTCTTCCTTCTTCATCCTCCACTTATTCATCCCATGGTCTTAGGGTTCAGCCTTCCGGCCTTCCCCATGTCCTCTTCTTGCCCCTCATACAGTCAGTTCCTGAGTTTGAGCAGAATGGAAGAAAATCCTTTTTTTTCTTGAGACAGAGTCCCACTCAGCTGCTCTGGGTAGAGTGCCGTGGCCTCAAAGCTCACAGTAATGTCAAACTCTTGGGCTCAAACGACCCTCTTGCCTCAGCCTTCTAAATAGCTGAGATTATATAGGTGCCTGCTACCCCACTCAGCCAATTTTTCTATTTTTAGTAGAGACAGGGTGTCACTCTTGCTCAGGCTGGTCCCAAACTCCTAAGCTCAAGCCATCCACTTGCCTTGGCTTCCCAGAGAACTAGGATTACAGGTGTGAGCCACCGCGCCCAGCAGGAAATTCTTTTATTTCTTCATGAGGATTTCTGACAATTCCTGTGGGTGAGCTGGGAGAAGCCAGTGAACCCTTAGGATTTCTGTGTATCTTGATTACTTCCCCCCACTGTGGAGGGGGGTATGGTAGCCTTGCACCCAGATTTCCGGTTCTGTTTCCTCCTCCTGGATTGGTGGCATCAGGAAAGCTGGTATAACTGATAGACCAGTTGACTACCCTTGGTGCTCAAGGACAATTTAACTCGTTTCAATGACTGGTTATTAAGTACCACATGTATACCAGTGTTTTCTCTTTCTAAACTGGTATACTTTGAACAAGGTCATCTAATCTAAATGTGCCATTATTTATTATAGAATAATAGATAACTTCAGATATTTCACATTTACAACATGCAAACCACTGCACAGATAAGTGCATTACATTTACGCCACTTAACCCTCACAACCATTTTCTAACACAGATATTGCAACTAGTAGTTTTTCAAACAATGAGATGAGCCTCCGAGAGGTTAGGTTACTTGTCCAGGATTACACAGCTTTCGAGGGGGCAAATCTGGGGATTTTGAGTTGGGCCTGCCGGAACTGAATGTCCATTTCGCCGAATTATGAGATGCCCTCACAGACTTGTTATCTAATTTGATCTTTGCAGAGATCGTGGAGGCATTTTACAGATAGGGAAACTGAGGCCCAAAGGGGTTTTTCACAGTGTCCCAGGCCACGTGGTAGGCAAGTGGGGACACGAGTGGCTGTTTTTATCTGAGCGGCCTTGCTTGCTGTGTGATAACAGGGCCTTCCCTGCTCCCCGAGGAAGAACACCCTCTCTCCCACTCACCTGTCTGTCTTCCCGACCTTGTCTTCCTTTACTGGTGGCCCAGCTGACTCTATTGTGGGGCAGAGACCTCCCTGCTGTTCTTTGAACATGCCCAGCAGGCTCCTCCCTCAGCTTCTGTGAGCTGGAGCTTCTGCTTCCTCCCTCACTCCTCCAAAGCTTGTCACACGTCACATTTATCTGGACCTCTTTCCTTACTCCCCACTGTACTTTCCACCCTTCTGTGCCCTGTTGCTGCTAATTGCCTTATTTTGTTTTTTTTTCCCTAACCTACTGCTCTTCCAACATATCACTGGTTCCCTCTTCCCCCAGGGACAAGCGGTGATGTCTGGAGACATTTTTTTTTTTTGTCTGTCACAGGGGATAACCTGTACAGGACACAAACCAGAGATGCTGCTGAACATTCTACCAAGCCCAAAACAAAGAACTGTATTGCCCAAGTACCACGCGGGCCAAGACTGAGAAGCTGTGTGTTATATTACAGATCTCACTCGTTTTGTGTTTTTTCCCTGTCTAGATTAGACTTATACTCATAGAAGGTGCTCAAAAACGATTGATGAATGAATGGATTTAATCCACGGGAGACTTTCATCCACTCCAGCTGCATATCTATTACCCTGCATGGAGTTGTGCTCAGCTCACCGACCTCCCATACGCCCTCCTCCCGATACCTGTGTTTTCTTTTGGCTAGTTTCTATTGCTGTGTTTTATTTTATTTTATTTCATTTTTTGAGACAGAGCCTCACTCTGTCACTCTGGGCAGAGTGCCGTGGCATCATCATAACTCACAGCAACTTCAAAGTCTTGGGCTCAAGGGATCCCTTGCCTCAGCTTCCTGAGTAGCTGGGACTACAGGTGCTTGCCACCACGCCCGGCTAATTTTTCTATCTTTAGTAGAGACGGGGGTCTTACTCCTAGAGTCTTACTCCTAGAGACCCCCATCTCTACTAAAAATAGAAAAAAAAGAACCCAGCTGTGTGTTGTGGGTACCTGGAAAAAAAAAAGGAAGAAAGAAACAGAAAAAGAGAATAACTTGTCATACCAAGAACCAAGAAGGTCTCAAAGTTAATGACAAAGAGATCATCAGTCATAGGTGCCAACCTGGAGATGCTGGAATGATTCGACACGCATTTTAAGGCAGCCATAACAAAAAGCTTTACTGAACAACTGTGGATGTGCTTGAAACAAAAAGAAGGTCTCTGAAAAGAAATCGAAGCTATAAAGAGGAACTGAAATGGAAATTATAGAACTGAAAGATATAAGAACCAAAATAAGAAGCCCAGTGAATGGTATCAATGGCATCATGGGAGAGACGGGGAAAAGAGTCTGCAGAAACCTCGGTTAGAGACAGAACAGCAACAACTAAAAAGGAAGAGGGAGAGGACAAAGATGCAAATTCCCAATACCCGGTAGGAGATGGGGATATCCCCAACGTCAGAAGTATGAG